CCTGCGTGGTCATCTACGGCGTTGGCTTCCAGTTTGCCTGGGGGACCATCCCGTGGATCTACCCTGCAGCCACTTTGCAGCAGTGAAGATACCAGAAAAGTGATACAATACTGACGACAACAGCAACAGCAGCAGCAGCAAATATATTCAGCATAGCAGCAGTAATCGTTAACTACAGTGACAATACTAACCATGGTGATAATTTCGATTCTGAGAATAGTCATGGTAATTTTGAAGAGAAACAGTATCGCAGACTGATGGTGATAGCAATCGTACAAAACAACCACCATAATTTTCTTCTTCTGGTTGTTCGTCACCGCGGTCACTGCCGCAGTGGCAAGTCGTAGCTTTAGCCTCCAGACGTCAATCAGATAAGCACAATGAGTGTGACGGCAACAATGAGGGTGAGGATGGGAGTGATGATGATGATGACGACGATGATGATGACCACAATCATGATGATAGCAATGATGATGGTGATGATGATGATCGACGCCACCGCCACCGCCCCCGCCGCCGCCGCCGCCCCCACCACCACCACCACCACCACCACCACCACCACCACCACCACCACCACCACCACCACCACCACCACCAGCAGCACGACCACCAGCACTGCGACGGCCAGCTCCATCACCATAGCTATCACCACGAAGCATCATCATCATCATTAGTGCAAATGCCGTCCTGCGTGTAATATGCCAGAAGCCGGTCAGAGGGAGCACGAAGGCACCTGAGATACGAACAAATCAAACGACAGAGTGGTCTTCAAAGCCAGGGTTTGCTGCATTGAGGATCTTTGGAATTGGACCCAAATCCCGAATGCAGAGCAATACCTGTTACAGCCTGCATCGAGGAAATCTTCTCGATGGCAGAGAAGGACTCTCGAGGGACACAGCCGTTCGAGGGTATGTTCACAGAGCAGTGATCACCTCTGCATCCCGGAAGCTTTGCAACCTGGTGTTCAGGAGTCCGCTGTTTCTCTTGCCATTGGTTTCAACTACATTGCGAATGCTGCCCGGACGTTTAATATTTAGCATATGGGTCTTTAGGCTTTGCTGCAGCTCTCTCTGCCGAGCAGAAGCCGCTTGCGAGCATTGGAGATTCTTGCCCCGAAACGAGGCTGCCATCATCTACATCACCCCAGCTCTTATGTCACGTGCCTGCAAGTGCGCAGTGGTCATTTCAGAACAGAGCCCGCGAGAACCGATTTGGAGACTGCGGAACACGGACTTTATCTCCTACTATTTTCGAGAGCTGCTGCAGGAAATGGTCCACACCCGGGACTCTCCTGGTCTTCGGTGCCCTAAACGTCCTGCAACTTGTCAGAGACGTCTTTCGAAATCATTCTGCGACCACAGCGACATAGCATCGCTTTCCAACGGCACCACACACTCACGACACTGAGTTCATTTTTCGAGACGCGCTGATTTGCCCAAGTGGTTTCCTTCTTACAGAGCTGCCATAGCAGTAGCTGATCTGCTTCGGGATGCTGTACTTACTAATGAGCACGCGCACGCGAAAATTCGTGGAGCTCAGTTGGTTAGATAGGTCGATAGCTGTTCTGTCTTTGCGTGCCGGGCCAGTTGCCTATGGTCTCGTGCTGTCGACAGATTTGGATAAAAAGGGTTTCTGGGTCGTCATTGAGTCTTCTGTCTTTTTGCTTGCGAATGGAGAAGATAGTCAATTTGAAGAGCTCAATGCCTGGCCCAGGAATGAATTCTTCGTTTTCTTCTACATCAAGGTTGGAAAGCATGCTGCCAGTTGAGCTGTAGTAGTAGCAGCCGGGCTAAGCAACAAGCAACCGAGGCTGCAGGACGAGCAGCAGTGGTAGTTGGTAATTGCGAGTTGTGATTGTGGTGGTGGGTGGTTGACGTGGCGGTAGTAGCAGTAGCAGTAGCAGTAGTAGTAGTAGTAGTAGTAGTAGTAGTAGTAGTAGTAGTAGTAGCAGTAGGAATAGGAATAGGAGTAGGTAGTAGTAGGAGGAGTAGTAGTAGTAGCAGCAGTAGTAGCTGTCGTAGTCGTCGTGGTGGTGGTGACCTGATGGGTTTGGTAGTACCATTTGTTGTTGTCGTCGTCGTCGTCGTAGTACTTGCCGCTCTTGCCGTCGGAATCAGGAGAATCCGCATGGGTATCTACAGGTTTCAGGCTCCAGATGCCGCAGATCTCTGGAGCCCCGAAGCTTGCGATGCAGGAAACCAAGGGCGTGCCGCTCGAGGAGGCGCGAAAGCAGATTGCCAGCTTGTGTCGCTGCTTAGGGCAGCTTTTGAAACTCAACGATTGCAGAAAGCAAGTCTGATGATAGGGCTGGTTGAGTAAACCTCGACTCGTTTTCTTCTGACTGGGAGCTTGGGGCTTGGGATGTATGGTGCTTGATGTCTGGGATTTTGAGGCTTCGAGGACTGAGCCGTTGAGATTTACAAGCCCGGAATGTTAAACACTAGAAAGAGCAGAAAATGCAACAGCACTGCCAGCGCTATGTGCTCATGCTGCTGCTGCTGCTGCTGCTATTACTGCCACTACTGAGCTACTGCTACTACTGTTACCAACAAAAGCAAGCAGCAACATCATTTCCAGTAGAAGCAAACACGTACAACCATAGCAAGCAATGAAGTAACAGTGTACTAACAATGGTTTCTGCACTGCTGATCTTCTTGTAACCTTTGCAGATACTTAAGAAATGTCAGAGACCTTGAAGCAGGGAACAGAGCATGCTACCCATAGCTCTCGACAGTGGCAGAGCGGGTGCTGCGAGGTTCCGGATCTCTTCCGAAGAAAACCCAAACACTTGGGTGAGGCCGCCCGTCTTTCAATCGACTCATGCCCATGCGTTTGGATCCAGAGTTTCAGATTTCGGGTGTGGGGGTGGGATTTCAGCTGCAGGATTTGATGCGGGGGCTGCACTTGCACAGCGCAACACAGGTGCGCAGTTGGCAGGTGATGCGTCGTGGGCATAATGGGAGTGGTGCAAGGGCAGAGGCAACTGTGGAACCGGAATCGCAAAGTCAGCATCGCCAGAAGGACTCGTCCAGCGAGGACGTCTCGGACTACAGCACGTCTGAGTTCTGAGAACATCGGCCATGATGTCGGGTTGCTGTAGCAAGCACCCGCGATTGGCGGTGTACTTTGCGCGGTCCGAGAAACGTGTTCAAGGTAGCTCTACACGGCAGCAACATGCCGTTTTTTTGCTGGTCCGGCCACGGTTGTTGCTGTATTGCAAAAGATGCTAAATTTCTCACGAGGATGCATATACACGACATCCGTGGATGCTTACTTGGACCAGAGCAGCCATGCAAGTGAGCTCCTCAATCCCAGGCAGAAAGTTGGAACTAATCATACAGCTGTGTCTTCAACCAAGAGCTGTAGCGCTGCCGGGATTGCTCTCTTGCCCCTGGCTGTGTGCAGTCCCCTACCGGCTTGAGAACTCTCAAGCCTGCTGATAGCAGCCAGCCGTAAGGCTGACGCACAGCGGGAACTGAAACAGCGCACTTAGCGGGACTCACCGCACCCCAAAGCCCAGAAAGTGAGCAATGCACACCTGCGAACCAGTGGGTGAAAGTATGACTCCAACCTACGAAAATCCAGCACTGAAGACGTCGCAAGTCGCCTGTCTTCCAACACTGAGTCCGACTGGGTTCTTGGACATTTTGCGTCCTCCGGAGGTTCATGTTTACAGTCAGAGTGAGCAAGTGGACAAGGCTCATCTTTTGCCAGTATTCGTACATGCCGAGACAAAATGCAGAAGACAATTGCTTGTGCGTTGGGCTAGCCTCCAGTTCCGATGTTGCCTGTCCCGTTCGTTCAAGAACCCTTGATTAAGGCCGTCCGTCCCCCTAGACCCTATACCTGCTTGATGCTCGCTTGCACCTACAGGGCTGGGCGGTGGCTCTCTTGAAAGCTCCCGACTTTAAATCAGCTCGGCGATCTTCGGCCTTTTGCCATCGAACTTAAATTGGGGATTGCAAGACTCCTGGTGTCCTGGTGGTGGCATGGCAGGTCATAACCGTAGGCACTAGGTGCTCATAAGAACCGCAATCCTGGCAGTTATGACAACACCAGCACAAAGCAGCAGCAAGACTGGCAAAGGTAAAGGAAGATGGCAGAGACTGAGTAGAGTGCTAGAAGAATCTTCAAAGCAAGAATAAGGGGCTGACTTGGTTTATTAGAGAAGCAGGACTACTTGCAAGGACATGGCCACTGTCGCCGATCTGTGGATTTTCAGACCTACGGGCTGTGGGAGACAGTCTGTTTGAAGTCTGCCAGGGCTTTTCCAGCCCGGCTATCTCTACGCTAAAGCGAATGCTGGGGGGAGGTATATGAGTTTATGCTGGCTGTGGTTTTCCCAAGGCAGGAAGAGCTATCTGCGAAAGCAGGCGTGCGACATCCTACTCTTGCAGACAGATGAGTGCAACAAAGTTGCACATAGGCGTTGGACAAGAAACGGTCCGCCATGGTGGTTGAGCTTATCACTTTGCTACGGGAGATTTTTGCCAACGCAAAATGTTGATACCACCTTTGTTTTCCATTTCTAGCTTGTGCCCAGTCTTGTTGCCTGCCAGTCGTAACGATAAGGGGAACAGCAGCGGTCTTGCGTCGTTCTTCTCTTCATGGTCGTCGTCGTAGTCGTCGTCGTAGCAGGAATCGTAGCAGGAGCAGCAAGAGTAGCAGTGGGAGTGGCATTGGCGGCAATTGGCGGTAGTGGTCGTCGTAGCAGCAATAGCAGCAGCAGTAGCAGCAGTATCATAGCGAATGTTCTGAATTGACAGAATGATGAAGTCGATGTCAATATTGACAACATCCAACAAGCAGAACAGTTTGCAATCAACATCAGAGATTGCCTTCGCCGAGATTCCATGATCTACATGTACACACCTGCAGTCTACGATTGAATAGTATAAAAATATAGTACAATGCATGACTGGACAACTATGTCTGGCCTTCGAGTCGTAACCTGTTGGAACGTGATGCTTTTGGTTCTCTTCCGTGTCTTTGCTTCTGAGGCCTTCGGTGCTGGTCTGGTGCACATCGGCACGGTGGCTTCCACTCCGAGCACCCGGAGGGTGGCAGAGCACTGAGTGCTCCTGATCATAGGTATTCTCGCCTGCTGGTTGTTCATTTCAGAAATTGGAGCCCGATCCGAGAGAATGTCAGTAGGCACAGCAATACGCTCAATTCAATCAGGCACGACAGATGGCATACGAAGCCCCTCTGTGAAATTTGATGGGGGAGTTGCCAATGATCCCCACCTGTAGTTCTGTACATTAGACCTGGAACAAGTTGTCTGCCATGCCCAAGATCGGTCTTGCAGAATTGAGGGAACTCCATGTGCAACTGGCAGCCATTTACGCCATCGAGCTTTGTGTGGCTGTTCTTCTACTGTAGCGTATCTGACCCACATGCTTAGTGAAGCTGGCAGCATGTCGACCTCATCATGGGACGAAGTTGAGTCACAAGGCACTTCAGCTATTGCCGTGCCGGCATCGCTGAGTGCCTGCACCGTCTTGCAGCCTCGGGAAGTGCAAGATGCGCGGTGCTTCGTCGACAGCTTGTACAAGGGAGTTGATCCTTCCAAGACGCAACTGGCTGACAATCTGCAGAGCATTGGGCATCGAGTTCTTGAAAAGATTTCCCATCTGCAAAGGCATCTCCCTGGGAAGCTGAACGCCATCCAGAGGGAAATCGAGCAAACTCGTGATGTGTTGGGAGTGAGAGTTGTTGAGTATCTCGGCCACACGGGATTCACTCAGAAGGATGTTGAGTATTGTGACAGTGCACTGTCAGAGATGCAGGGGCAACTTTTTGATGGTGGCTTGCAGAAGTTGCTCAACGATGTAGCGGTGTGCCAGGAGGACTTCGGAAGGAACCAGGGTGGCTACGAGCGGCGCATCTGCGAGCAAGAAGAAGAATGGCGAAACCGTCACTTCAGGGCACAAGTCTTCGGAATGCTTTATGCACCTTTGGGGTGGGTGGACTCAGCACAGGGCTCCAAAGATGTTGGCTGTGGCATCTCTGCACTCCTTTCGTATGGACTCGCTTACATTCCTGGTTTCTCCTGTTACGGCGGGATCGGAGCCTTAGCATGTGCCGCGACGGTAGGCATGAAATTCTGCGTCTTTGGCAATCGCACCGACTTTGAAAGTCTACAAAGTGAGATCGAAGACACATTAAACCACATCAGAGAAATCAAGCGCATGGGCTGCAACATCTCCCGCTTCTACGAGGAGCTTCGTGAGGACATCCAGGCCATCAGATCGTGCGTGGCCATGTTCGAGCAGCTACGTCAACAGCTCCCGTTTTTGAAAGTTGGTACCTTTGATGTGGCCAGTTGGGATTCTCAGAAGTTGAGCACCGCACTGCAGGCTTGGGAACTTCCCACCTGTGCCAGCATGGTGTCAGACCACAACATCTCTGGCCACGCTTTCCTCCATGTTCTGGGCGAGAAAGATTTCCAGGATCTGGGCATCACGTGTGGCCTGACCTTGCGCAGGCTCCAAAACATACAGATGGTCATGAAGTCGGACAAGAAGGAGAAAACCAAGGAGTTCTTCCATTCTGACAAGAGTGGCCTAAAGTTGATGCAGGCCTTGGATGAAGTCGCCAAGGGTATCAGTGCAATGAGGGAGAAGTACCGTTATCCGTGAGAGTTGTGCCACCAGGTTGTTCGCCAGTCCTTGGCGGTCTACACGAACACGGGGGACATTTTTGGCAGCCTAGTGCAACTTCTATGAATGGTTCTGCAATGTCTGCAAAAGATGGACATGTAGTGCAAAATCAACGCTACGTCATGAGATATGAGGCGTCGGTTGTTAAAAGAGGAAACAATGCGCCAGGTTTTCAGCGCTCAGATCCGTGCCTTCATCGATTTAGCTGCCGCTGAAGTTAGGTTGGCCTTGCAAGACTGCTTTGCCACAGTTGTTGATCCTCTGGCTTATATCGGCCACTGTAGATCTTTGTGCTGTTGACACCCTGAACCCACACGCCTCAGCTTCTCGAGCCTCTTAAGTGGTAAGGTGCCGCAGGGCATTTCGGACAGCAAGCGCCGACGCGGTCTGGCAGCAGGCGGAGCTGATTCCCACCCGAGCCCGAATTCAAAAACATGAGAGCTCCGGGCTTCGGGGGCCTCCGGGCAGAAGGCGCCTTCATCTCGATCGGTCTGGTGGTGGTGATTGTGCAGGGACCTCGGTTTGGGCGGCTATGCTCTGAGATGTCGTGATTCCGGCAGCAGTTGTTCATGGGAAGAGCTGAGGCTTGGCGTCTTGGGTCTAGAGTGCTGCTCCAACGCGCTTGGCCTGTCAAGCTTGCGCGGACACGTCTCTGCAAGCTGTCTGTGCACGCTGGCATTGTAGCTGATGTGTCTGTTCTAGCGGTTTCGTTTGAGCCAGGTCCCTATGAAGCACCGCGACCAGTGATGCCAGAGGCACTCAGCTTCCAGCCCTCACTCGTGCGCCGTCTTGCCGGCAATGCCAGGAAGACAGCGCGGAGCGACCGATGAACGCTTCAGACTCGTCCACCTCATCTGACATGACTACTTCCACTTCAACGCCGCCGAGCACGACTCCGAACACTATGATCGGTTCGAACGTATCGGACGGCTCGAACTTGTCGAATGATACAGGACTCTGGGGCACTGCGAATGATCAGCTGTGCTCACTTGTTGGTTTGGACAAGCCTTGCACCGCACTCACGGAAGCCTCGAGGCCCTTGAGGCATTGCCTGCAGGATCAAGGCGACTGCAGTCGATGGACGGTGGCACCAATGCCACAAACACCACAACACAGGCATGCCCGGATTCCATTGATGTGCAGGGCAAGGTTACGCATGCTGCGCATGCTGGGTGAGGCCGAAGCACAAAGTCATACATCTGTATATGTGTAGAGTTTGCATATGTTTAATTTTTGTATATGTATATGTAGATGGGCATTTCTGTGTGTGTATATATGACCATAGGCCTGTCTGTCTGTCTGTCTGTCTGTTCGTCTGTCTGTCTATGTCTGTGTGTATGAATGTATGTATACAATATGTATCTATGGTCATATGCTGCATGTATGCATGTATGTACGATATGTATACACCGGTGAGTATATGAATGTATGAATGTATGTCCGTCACTGCACGTCTGTATTTTTGTATGTATGTCTGTATGTCCGCATGTTAGTATGCATATGTGTATATGTGTATGTCTATTTGTACGTATGTAGGTATGTACGTATGCATGTGGGTATGTAGACACGCATGTATGCATGTATGCATGTATGTATGCATGTATGCATGTATGTAGGTAGGTATGTAGAAGTTTTTCAAGTATGTATGTATGTACGTACGTATGCATGTATGTATGTAGGTGTGTAGGTATGTAAGTACGTATGTACGTATGTACGTATGTATGTATGTATGCATGTATGTGTGCATGAGGGATGGAAGCATGGAGGGACGGAGGAAGGGATGGAGGAGATGGATGGATATTCACAGGTTCATGCATACCGCAGCGGCACATTCAACTGTTTTGAAGCGTTTCTGTGACATTTTCTGATCGGCAGACCACTACCACGACACCCTCGCCGCTCTTAGCAAATTTCACGGCCATGGAGATACAGCAAGCCGAGGCGCATCCGATGTGACAGTAGAGCTGTGCGTCCTCCGAGTGTTTCTCCCACCATCCACTGTACGAATTGCTCCCCTCACACTGCTGTGCAGGAGGTGATGTACACTTATCATGGCGCCATGATGGGCCAAATTGTGGAAATGACTGGAAAGTGCCTTGTCCTCATGATCGAGCCTCTACTCCGCGAGCACCCTGCGCGACAGTCCCCTTCTCAAGAAGTAGCCATTGAAGGAAGATCGGAATCGAGCCATTGCGGTTTCAAGACTGCTCCGGCCGGGGGTAGCAGCCATTTCTTTTCGGCACCTTGAATCGTAGTACGTAATTACTTTCAACAATTCTGAACAGCATGGGACCCGCAAGCATCCCAGGCAGAGAGCAGGAGTGGAAACACGCAACAAAGTTCATACAAAGTTACAAGGATGGAACAGATAGCAATGCTGAAGGGACCACTTCAGAGCAGGAAGACAGGAGCTCCCAGAACTCCAAACCCCCGAAGCCTCCCAGGTGCATCCTCCCCACCGGAGAGGAGCCTTCTTTCGTGCGCTTCGAAGAGGCTACAGACAGCGACTGCCAGGGTCCTCAGCTTCCGTTTTTGGGCTCGGATTTGGGGGTGAGAGCTTTTGTGATTGAGGTCCAAGGTTTGGGGCTCTGCAGTGGTGTCCCTTTAGGGTAAAGGGGTTTGGGCCCCCTCCTTCTTCCCCATACTTGGAGCTCTATTGTGATACATATTCGCTGTAACCAGGCACAACATGCTTTGGCTACAGTGTTGCAACCTCATGAATCCCTTAAGAGAGGACAGTGCTGTCAGTCGGCAGCGTGCTAACAAAAGGTTTCAGAGCATTCGCATGGAGGCCTCCACCACGTCCCAAGCCAGCAAATTTTGGCTCGGAGAACCGGCTTGCACATGGCCTTCGATGGCCCCCAAACAGAAAGTGCGCGAACGGCCACCCCTGCCGGATGCCGTGGATGTGCTGATCCTTGGAGTGCTTTCATGCATCCTTTTTTTCATACGCTTGCAGGTGACGTATGGTGAAACTTTAGCAGCACGGTGCTCAGGATTATTGGCGCGGGGCCCCATGGTCTGGCAATGGCTAGCCGCTTGATTCTGGGCGACGAGGCCATGGCGGACGTCATCCCCCCGCAGGAGAGCTACATTCGCCGCCCCAAGGAGGTGCGAGCACACCTCCAGAAATCACGGGCACAACGCAGCCGCAACTTTGCGGTGGTGGACAGCACTGGATCATGGATGGAGCGCTGGCGGAATCAATTCGATGCGCTGGCCATTCCGTTCCTGAGGTCGCACGAGATGATGCACCCGGATGCTTTCGACCATTCCACGCTGTCCGTCTGGGCGGCCGCCAAGAGCCGCAACGACTTCCTGTTCCTGGAGAACTTACCCAAGGACAAGGCTTATCATGGCCCTTTTGTGCTGCCTTCGAACCGGATGATGCTCGACTTTTGCCGGGATCTGGTGAAGTTGGGAGGTCTGGACAAGCGCATTTGGCCTGCTCATGCAGAGTCGATGCGGCCATCTGCATGTGGTTCAGGCATAGAAGTGTCCCTCCGAACAGCCGAGGACACTCTGCAAACTGTTCTTGCAAATCACGTCGTCGTCGCACGGGGCCCTACCTGGCGTCGCCAGTGGCCCGCCTTTTACAAACTCTTGGATGCCGCCGCGCTGGCTGAGATCCGACACACCTGGGACCTCTTCGACAAGCCTGAGCAGGTCGCGGCCCTGCGAGGCAGAGGGATCATCGTTGGTGGTGGCTTGTCCTCGGCACATCTATGCACACAGCTTGCAGGTCGTGGCCACATAGATTTGCTGATCCGCAGGGAACGAAAAGTCAAGCAGTACGATCTTGGCTTGTCGTGGATGGGGTGGAAGCGACGGGAACAGCGACGAGAGTACGAGCAAGCTTCGATTGAGGAGCGTTTGGCCAAAAACCGAGCTGCTCGTGATGGTGGATCCGTTTCGCCTGAGCTGGATGCGGAAGTGTCGCAGCTGGAGGCGAAGGGCTTAGTCACGGTCCATGAGTGGACGGAGATCGCGACCGCATCCTTCGATGGCTCTTGGACGGTGGCTCTCAGCACTGGCGATGTGATGGAGGCGGATTATCTCATCTGCGCCACCGGCGCACTCGTGGATGCTGCGACCGATCCCCTGCTTTCGGGATTGCAAGAGGTCCACCCCCTGCCCATGCATGGGGGCCTGCCGGCAGTCACTTACAATCTGCAATGGGGCAAGCTGCCAGTGTCCCTTGGGCAGCTGTCCAAAAGAACAGGCTTGAATGGAAAACCTAAAAAACATAAGGATATACACAGACGAGACGCCTCTTCTTCTTCGTAATGTTAAAAAGGAGCAGCTGAAGCTGAGGTACCTGATGGGCAACCTCGCGGCGCTGGAACTGGGGCCCGACGCCGTCAACATGACCGGCGCAGCTCGCGGAGCCCTGCGGATCAGTGGAGCCATGGTTGCCACAGCGGCGCCAGAGGCGACGGAGGCGGCAGAAGCAAAGGAGTGAAGGCCACAAAAACTGTGTCCCTTGCGAGCCAAAGGCGATTTTATTAGTGAGGGGAGAGCATTGTACATACCTGACATACCTGGCGAAGCCCCTGCGTCTTTGAAGTGAAGATGCGGGCTTTGAGGTGATTCCTTGATAGGCCGCGGAGCTCTTGCACATGCTGGCCAACTTAGAGGTCTGAAGTTCGATTTGGAACCTCAGCCCACCGGCGAGGGTCGCTGTTTCACTTAGAGAATAGATGTCTTGACCAGCGTCCGGTCAGATGGAAAGGGGCCGTTCTTGGTTGAGTTGTGATTTTGCTCGGGTGTGCTGACCGTCTTCCATGGATTTCGTTGGGTGATGTGATTTCGTTGGGTGATGTGGCTGCTCTGTATCGGGATGGAAGCAAGGGAAGAGACGTGGATACCGCATCGGTGCACTGCTGAACGCCGAAGTGGTTTCGCACATATTTGAGGTCGACTCCTCTGTTCGCTCCACGACGAATGCTTCGGCTACAGCCGCGACGGGCCTTTGCAAGGAATGAACCCACGGGCATGCCTGCTGTGGACTCAGCCCGAGCCTAAGACCAAAGATGGAATGAGCGCGGTAACGATGCCGTAAGTCATCTCCTACGTCAGACTAAGTCTAGGAATTCAGAGCGGCAGAAAACATCAAAAGTCACAGCACTCGTCAAGCCAATAGTGGATCGTTTTGGCAATGAGCATAACATCAGGAAGACGAACAGTGCAAGCTTCCCACCGCCGCCGCCGCATTTCAGAAGGAAGGCCCAACACCACCAGCCAAGTCTCGCACATTCCCCAAGGTCAGGCCTTACAGGCCACGGCCACGGGGGCGGCCTTTGGAGCTGTGCGACGAAGATTTTGGCCGCCAGCTGAGAAAAGATCGTGGAAAGGGTTTCAGGGAGTTTTTGTGGACTTCCGAAACGCAGCAGATATGAAAGTCTCAGGGAAAGCTGGGCTGTCTACAGCCACTGTTGGAGACAGACTACAATAAGGCCGCCGAGCCACGGAACTGCACCTCTTCGGCGCCGGTGATGAAGGTCCGGAAGTTTTGTTCCTATCCCAGTTTTTAGCCGCTATCTTCTTGTTTGTGTCTCATCTATTGGGAAAGTCTGATATTTTGAATATCAGAGATGTTCAATTATCAGTGCCATAGTGCCATTGTGATGTGTCGTATAGGTAGTGGTGACGATGCTGAAACATGATGCACCACATTGCGTCACATCTGTTTTGCTGTGTCCTGTGCTGCACTATGTCCTGCGCTATGCTCTGCTCTGCACCGCCCAAGATTGTGACTTCGCTGTGCAACGGGAGTATATGAAGATGTGCAGCGCAGCGCAAGGTAGGTCTCGGTGTGGTGAATTGAGGCAAGCCACGGAAGGGAAAGGCTATGTCTACTGAAACTCGACTCGGAGATTGCATACTTTAAACTGCTTGCGCTGGTAAGAGGTAGATTCAGATGTTTCTGGAAAGGATGGCATCCCCGTGGAGATGGCCCCAGAGGCTCGCAATATGCCAAGTCATGTCCGATCGGAGCCGAGTTTCTCGGGCAGCAGATCTGGTGCGGCTGCTCCGGCGCTTTTTCGAGGGGCCCCTGGGGCCTCGTGCCAGCTGCTCAGAATCCAACTACCCTTTGTCTAGATGTACGTTTCGGTCAAAGCTCCTTGATCTCGCTCCCTGCTCAGGTCCGTGATTGCGGAGCAGTTTGCCACCTTGTACAGCTTGCATGTTTCTCCGTGCAACAGTTGTCAAGAGGATGTCGTTGGACTTCTGGCCTGCTGAAGAAGCCTCGATTGCATCTCCACTCTGTTTTGCCAGTTACTGCGAGCTGGGCATGATAGCACCCATGCTGTCATGGGCTGAGCATTGCTTCGGCCAGAATGCGGATGAGCATAGAGTAGATTAGAGTTTCTGTGTAGAGTTTCGAGCTTGTGCGGTGTTGGCATATATACAGACGTACAGAGATGGACGAGAGCACATCTACGTGTTTCTGTTTCTTAGATAGATAGGTACATGCATAGTCTTTTTACATATATGCAGTGATCACAAACAATGGATTACCACAAATTACACATTCATGCATGGATGCAGCAAGCACCTGTCTACCCAAACATGTGCATCTCTCTCTCTCTCTCTGTGACACGCACCGTACAGTGCATAGGTACATACATGCACATGTCTTCATGATCGCATCTGGCTCTTTGCAGCTTCGACAAGGATCGGGCTGGCAGGCTTCGCCATCCATAGCTTTACCTGCTCACAAGCAGCCCGGTGCTCAGAGCCCAAGTGAAGCCCCAAAGTCTCCAAGTGGCCATGGGTAGTTAGGGCTTTGGGGTTGGTTGGAGGCTTAGAATCCTTAGAAACTTTAGGGATGAGGCGGAGTATCTGTCAGGTCGCACACCTGAATGCGCTCGAGGCGCAGGACGTGCAGGGATTAGGAGTCTGTATGTGTCTGTGTCCACCCCTGGGTACCTTGCAGTTAGAGCTGATTTGTGATGCGTCTTCTGCATTTCTCCACTGATGATGCGTTATCATCACAGTAGCAAGCACTCGTCAACGGGAAAGTGCTCTCCTTTTTCTTGTCTCTTCCCCTACTTTCCTTACAGCCTTTGAGATGCATCGAGAAGTCCAGGAGACGCACAGGCAGTTGGTGGCGGCAGGGCAGCAGGCCTCGGTCGCAGGGGGGCCAAGGGCCACCACTAGCAATAGGTTTCGCAACGCACAACACTGACGCTGTTACGATCAGAGGGCAAAATGCTGCATCAGCGTAGTCGAAACTATAGCGGTGCAAGAGCAGTGGTGCGCACTTCGCTGTCACGTCAGGTCTTGTGACGGCCTCTCACAAAAATTCTCCCAAACCACATTGACATCCACTTCCCAAATCAGCGCCTTCTGGCCAGGGCCGGGCTGTTGTGGATGAAGGCTCTGCTGGTCTGGGTAGAACCCTGCCCTTGGGAAGTTGTCTCTGTTGTTTCCACTTCTGAAGCCTTGGCCGTGGCGATGTCTTTGTGGCACAGACCCAGTGTCGTGTCAGGGTGCAGCAAGCCTGGATTCTCATGAAGTCGTCCACACCTAGACAAGTGCCGTGTCTCCAGGAGACCAGCAGACCAACACGGCCATGGTTGCATGGCATGAGGCGGGCATGGGAGGACCGTCCTTGCAAGCAGAAGCTGTTGCCGCTTGCAGGCGCGGCGAGAGAACTTGCCGAAGCCCCTTGCCACACTCGGCCGGGATCTTGGTCTCATACAACAGTTCGCTCTTCCAGTTCATGAGACAGGAGACATGTGTGATGGCTGCCTGAGGTACCAGTCGGATGTTCAGCGTGTGACAAGGCATGTGCTGCACCTCGAAGTTAAGAATTCGTCTGCGACTCGTTGCAATTTATGTGCGCACATGGGCCAGCAGAGCATGTTTACGATGCTACAGGGCTTGGAACGGAGAGGACTCGGATGAAGGACCGATAGAGATTCTTTGTTGGACGGCTCAAGTGCTATCGCAAGCTAAAGTGCAGCTGGACAGCCGGGCTGCACTGAGAGCACCTCCAAGAGGGCCTCAAAGGGGTTTTAATGCCAGGTTGCTCAGAGAACCTTGAGTGGCAGTGCACGCTGCTTTAGACTTGAAGCTAGACCAAGCAATTGGAAAGACACACGTCGCTAAATCACTGCCAGTGCAAGTTTTGGAGTGCCCGAATTTGTGGTGCTGCACATCTTCGCCTTCTCCGACTCCGACATCAAGATATTTTTCCAATTGGTTCATTAGTTGCCCTAGTGAGTCCGTAGTACGTGTTGCACTACCCCCTCCCCATCTATCTATCCAGCCATGTATGTGTCTAGCCATTTGTGGATCCATGTCTGCGTGCATGTGCTCAGTTCAGCGAGCAGCAGACCTGTGTATTGATATACACAGTAGCTGAACATCGAGAAGCAGTTACGCATCGACTAAGACAGGCGGATAGACGGGTGTTTTGGCAAATAGGTGTACAGATCCACAGAGAATATGTATGTATATGTATGTATGTCTGTATGTATGTATGTATGTACCTATATATATATATATATACTTATGTATGTATTTACGTCTGTCTGTTTGTGTGTCTGTTCGCGTGCGCGCGCGTGTGTGTGTGTGTATGTGTTTGTGCGTATGTACGTACTAGTATGCACCTGCCAGCATATCTGCAAATATATCTGGGTATAGAGAAGGTCCAGCTGGCAGCTAAAAAAAGGGGGCGGGGTGAAATTGCGAATCGGAAGATAGGCTAGCATACACACAATGATTTACTTGCGTGCATGCACCTGCTTGTCAGCACGTACATCTGTGCACATCCCTGCTGTTTACAGCAACAGGTAGACTTAGGTGCATAAAGATTATGCATGGAAACATGTGCAAACCATACTGACAGATAGGCGCAGGTGCGGAACCTCGACTAGTCCAGAGTCTTTATTCCGAAAAGGTTTCCCTAAAGAGACCATGAAAGCTTACCTGTTCGCTGCCATCGGTCTTACTTGTGCATGGGCTTGGATGCAGCGCTCCAAATTCCTTGCCGACCATCGGGCCCACCTCGAACGAAGCCTCGGCCCGTCGGCGTGGTGCGAAAATCCGCTCAACACACTCGCGATCAAAGTCTTGATGATGACGATGACGATGACGGCGATAATGATGATGATGATGATGATGATGGGTGTATTTGTGGCGGTGGTGGTGGTGGCGGTGCTCAAGATCCTGCAAATGCCAATGCTACTTTTGCCGTCGCTGCTGCTGCTGCTGCTGCTGCTTTGCTGCTGCCATTGCTGCTGAGGCTGCTCCGCTACTACTGCTACAGCTGCTGATGCTGCTCCGCTTCTTCTGCTTCTTCTACCACTTCTCCTGCTGCTGCTGCTACTACTACTACTACTACTGCTACTACTACTACTACTACTACTACACCTACTCCTACTCCTACCCCTGCTCCTACTACTCCTACTACTCCTACTACTCCAGCTAATCCTACTACTCCTACTACTCCTACTACTCTTACTACTCCTACTACTCCTACTACTCCTACTACTCCTACTACTCCTACTTTTACTCCTACGTTTACTCCTACTTTTACTCCTACTCTTACTCCTACTTTTACTCCTACTTTTACTCCTACTTTTACTCCTACTCCTACTCCTACTATGCCTACGCCTACTCCTACAGCTATTGCTACGGCTACGGCTACTGCTTCTGCTGCTGCTACTCCTACCATCATCACCGCCACCACGATTAACTAGTAGTACTACTCCAACTACGATGACACTCCACAAACACTCCACAAAGACAACCGCAAGAGAGTAAGTGTTACAACGGCACTATTGACAATGCAACGCTGAAATTCAAAAGGAGAAGACTCGTTGCAAGACACAGAAGGAGAGAGCGAGAGAGAGGGAGAGAGAGCAAAGCAAGAGAGAGAGCGAGGGGGGCGACCCTTAAGGACCAACAGGAGGTTTAGGGTTGCACGCTTTGGAAGGCAGCCATGAGAATGGCTAGTCACGTGCCGCATGTGATGCGGTCATGTGCGAAAATTTGTGCCTGGCCTTCTGTCGATATTGTCCAGGAAACTTGGGGAAACACAGTCTGAACGTGGCGATCCTCAGCATCATGACGAAATCAAAGAGCTTTGGGAGACGCGTATATGATAGCTGGTAGCGACATGCTTGGGCAACAAAGTCAGCATGCGAAGTTTGAAAACCACACGGAGCCTACACAACAGACGAAAGATGATGAGGAGGAGGCTGACCCAAAACGCGAACTTCATTGTTAACAATGGTGTGATGCAAATCAAGCAGTGTGGAGGGTGCGATACTTTCCTGCATCTGCGCCCCTGGACAAAGACCCGAAAGCTTGTGCGGCTTGCTGCTTCTGATCAGACTCATGCTGCACTGCAGGTTTTAAGCTTTCAATGTACGTGGCAAAGGCAGATGTTCTTCTCACTCCTCGACCCGGCAAGACCGAAACGTGCAGCAGAAGCCACCTCAAGTTTTCGCCTCCATCGAGTCCCGACCCAGAACCCACTCCTTATACCAGCTTCCAGCTTGGAGCCCTTAGAGCTGCAAGCGGCAGATCCTCCCTGGCCCCTAGAGCTACGCGCCCCATGGCTACAGGGTCCCAATGGCATGGCGCACCGGCCAAGTGGCGGCAGCAGCCCCTCGAAGAGTAGGTGGCGGGTGTTTTGGATGCTCATTTTCGCGAGAATCCGGGAGTGCCCAGCTGGACAGGTTGAGCCGTGATGCCGATGCCACGCCCACGCGCATTTCGCCATCGCCGAAGTTGCTGACGCTGGGAGGACCCCTGCTCCTCTCGTCTTTGGGATTATTCCGTCGACAGGAGGCTGGGAGTGTTACTGTAGGTATGGTATCTGCAGCTGCCACGGCTCAGTCCGATAGGCTCGACAGTCCTTATTTACGGTGACATGAACTGACAAGAGAGCGACCGCGCCTGATTCCAGGAGGCGGTCGGAGTCCTTCAGCATCGCCCATTGGCACGGAGCGCTTCCCTCTTCTGCCACTTACTCTTCAGATTCCACTTGGTCAGACTCCGGTGCAGTGCAGTAGAGGCCATAAGCTGCAAAGCAGACAACGGACGTAATTTGTCTTCCAAGACTAGCTAAATGTTGCAGCATATTGCATCTTACAGAAGATAGACTGTGCCACGTGGTGGCGAGGGCGTCGAGGCTTGCAAGTGTAGTCCAACCAAATGAAGAAACGCAATTGAGACCCACGATATGCTGTAACCAAGCAGAAGGTCACGGCAGTAGCATGTCAAAAGTGGCAACCATCACTGATTCCTCACGAGCTTGAGGAGCTCCCGGCCATCGATGTCCCCTTTCGGGGCTCCGCCTCACCTCGGCCACGGAAGCCGCCTCATGCGACGCACTTCCCTGTGGTCAGGCCGGGGCAAAGAGCAAGTCGCCCCAACGCTTCGGAGAGGTTTGCAGACGTGACAGCAAGAAGTCCCTCCTCAGGCGAGCGGAGCGGGATGCCTCGGCACGGACTCCTTCCACTTCCAGCTCGCAGGGTCCCATGAGTTTGGGCCTGCACGGGAGGACGCCTCGAGGATCTTTAGGGTCTCTCCGAAGATGCGTCGCACTGGCAGGAGAGTGTCGGCCGGCACAGCCGCGAAAGAGACCAGTGGCTTCCCACATGAGATCTTGGCCCGAGGTGGCGGCTGTGTTGTCCTAACTGGCACAGAGATTCCTACTACAATCGTGACCCGAGTGCATCCTGCGTGGAAGGCGATCGCGCACAACGAAAGTTCCGAGAGGCGCTGGCAAAGGGGAAGGCCCAGCCCAGGAGAGAAACACATGATGTAAGGGAAGCTCTTCTTGTCCCGCTCCCACCGATCTGAGATGCCCTCCGAGGGCCGGATTACACCGTAAAGCATTTCAAGCACTGCTAGCTTGCACGCCTCAAGTGTTGCTGGTGTGTCTCATCCCAAAGCACTGGGCTCTGAGGCTGCAGAGGTTTCCGCAAGAGCCGGTCTCTTAGCTCAAAGTCTTCCCGGCCAGTCGGCAAGGCCTCGATTCCGGTCATAAGCTTCAAGGTGCATCGTGCAGCCATGGATCTGTGTCTGGATGGGTTTGATGGTTTGGGCTTGGATAGCCTCGGCCCCTCGCGGGGCTGGTCCATGAAGCGTGGGCACCGCAAGCGATTGGACGCTGCGAGCTGCCGGAACCCCAAGAAGATGGGGAAGGCAAGCGAGGAGGTGCCCCGGCAGCAACAAGCGACCAGCGAATGCACATAGTTGGACTTGTACTTCCAAGTTTTGAAGGCCAGTTCCTTTCAGCGTAGATGACAGGTCGGGTTGGGCCGATCGGCTGCGAAGCGCAGCGTGAACTCTGGCAGCCGCAATGCGTGGCGGGACCCAGACTATTTGGGCAAGTATGGTTGCGACTATCATCCGCAGACCCGCCGCAACAACTTGAGACGTTGGATGCGCGAGGCAGTGTACGAAAGCGAGGAGCTGGAGAGTGAGTGGGAGGAGGACTATGCTGTTCTGTCTTTGGAGCATGTTGGTTCGCTGGAGGCAAAGTGGGAGGATCTGGAGGTGGCATCTGTCTGCTCCTCTACCACAGCAGGCTTCGGCACCACTTCCACTGCTTCGGACTTTGGCTGGGAGTTCCTGGAGCCAACCACGCCGAGCTGCCCCTCCGCTCCCAAAATCGACATCTCCCCGTGGCAGGCGGCCCTGCGCCGGGCGGAGCGAGGGGCCAAGGAGTATGCGCAGCAATCCGGACATGCAGAAAGCATGGGAATCGAAGAACGTCAGCCAAGGAGGCGTTGCAAGCGAGCCCCCGTCGTTGAAAAGACCGAGACGCAGAAGCTAGCAGACGAGCTCAAATTCAAGTACCAGGTGAACCTTCACTATGATCTGCCATCCACGGGCCCTACCACGCCGTTCGAAAAGCTTCGATGGAAGTTCCTGAAGGATCACTCCGATGCCTTCTGCCATTCTCTTTCTATCCAGTACCTGAGTTGTGGCCGGCAGTGGCACCTGAAGCCTGCACCAGTGGCTCGAGAAGTGGAGGACCGCAGTTTCGTGTTTCAAGCGCAGCACAAGTGAGGAGCCAGCGAATAGCGGAGGCAGGCAGAGAGCTGAGAGTGGTCGTAATGCTTGCAGATTCGCCACGCCAATTCGTGTCTCGAAGCTTTTGCAAAGCATACAAATACAAACTTGTCAAGAGATCTCTCAGTGCTACTGTACCTAGTTGAACACGAGAGTGATGGCGCATGTAAGACATGCTAGAAGCAACACCGCCTCTCCCAGCAGAGGACCGATTTCTCAGTGCCTGCGATCGGGCAGCGGAAGGCGAGCTGCAGCCGGCTCTGCACGGCACAAACGAGTCCAACCTGTCCTCCATCTATTCCCGAGGGCTTCTGATCCCCGGGGAGGGAGGGAACGGTGTGAGGATTGTGAACGGATCCGTGCACGGTGTTGGAATCTACACCGCCTACGTCAAGGATGCCGCCTTGTCCTGGTCTTATGCCCGTGGTGTATCTAGGCCAGTACTTGTCTGCGGCGTTTTGGATCCAAGTACGAGAAAGACCAGTCCCGAGAAGAGCTCAAGCCTGGTGACCTACACTCATTCAGCTCGCATCTTCTTCAAGGATGATCTCGTTTCGCCACTATTCGAGGCATCCCTTGGCAGCATCCCCGCTTCTGCTAGCACTGCTAGCACTGTGCCAAAGCCCGCTCTTGTGGCACCCCCTCGCCGGATCCTTCCACCGGATCCAGTAAAGCCAAAGGGCCCTGGGCCTCGGACGCGGCTGAGGCGCACGGTGACAACTTTGCGCTGCCCTCCACGGGCCTTCCTGGCCCGCCGTGCAGCGCGCAAGCGTCAAGCGTGAATGCTTCGAATGTACAGTGTACAGCTTCCACCGAACGGTCGTCGATCGTGAAGTGTGGTACCGCCTGCCCAGGGCACCTGCGATTTTGGAGCCGAGGTTTGTTGAGTTACGAGAAGGATGCCTGCTTATTGAGCATCCGACACATTGTACAGGACAGTCGCCGGCAACGAACGTCGGGACACCCCATCAAGATGAAAGGCATCGCCAGGCATTGCAAAACAGGTAGTTCGTGAAGCGACTCGATGGCTTGGTCCCAAAGCACTGGGCTCTGAGGCTGCAGAGGTTTCCGCAAGAGCCGGTCTCTTAGCTCAAAGTCTTCCCGGCCAGTCGGCAAGGCCTCGATTCCGGTCATAAGCTTCAAGGTGCATCGTGCAGCCATGGATCTGTGTCTGGATGGGTTTGATGGTTTGGGCTTGGATAGCCTCGGCCCCTCGCGGGGCTGGTCCATGAAGCGCGGGCACCGCAAGCGATTGGACGCTGCGAGCTGCCGGAACCCCAAGAAGATGGGGAAGGCAAGCGAGGAGGTGCCCCGGCAGCAACAAGCGACCTTGGTCATCGAAAGTCGATGTCAGCGAATGCACATAGTTCGACTTAGTACTTCCAAGTTTTGAAGGCCAGTTCCTTTCAGCGTAGATGACAGGTCGGGTTGGGCCGATCGGCTGCGAAGCGCAGCGTGAACTCTGGCAGCCGCAATGCGTGGCGGGACCCAGACTATTTGGGCAAGTATGGTTGCGACTATCATCCGCAGACCCGCCGCAACAACTTGAGACGTTGGATGCGCGAGGCAGTGTACGAAAGCGAGGAGCTGGAGAGTGAGTGGGAGGAGGACTATGCTGTTCTGTCTTTGGAGCATGTTGGTTCGCTGGAGGCAAAGTGGGAGGATCTGGAGGTGGCATCTGTCTGCTCCTCTACCACAGCAGGCTTCGGCACCACTTCCACTGCTTCGGACTTTGGCTGGGAGTTCCTGGAGCCAACCACGCCGAGCTGCCCCTCCGCTCCCAAAATCGACATCTCCCCGTGGCAGGCGGCCCTGCGCCGGGCGGAGCGAGGGGCCAAGGAGTACGTTGCAGAGGTGGTGAACTTGCCGGAAGGCAAAAAGTCAGCCGAAAAGAAGGAAGCTAGTCAACGCCACCTCAGCCAGAAGGCGGCTCTAAGCAATGAGGTCAAGTTTCTCGATGACCTCGGTCGCCTTCATAGGGCGCGTGTAGGTTTTGATAGCGCGAGTTTGAAAGACACAACTTCATCCTTCGAAAAGTTGCGGTGGGGATTCTTGAAAGACTTCGGCGACTCCATCTGCTCTAATCTCTCAAGTTGCTACAATGGAGTCTGGGATCTGAGGCCTGCACCGATTGACAAGGACGTGCAGCGGATGTTTATGGATGCGCAACAGACATCCAAGAAGCCGGATGCACTTCAACCGGCACTGCATGGCACAAATCAGTCCAATCTCGGCTCCATCTATTCCCGGGGCTTGCTGATTCCTGGGAATCACAATGGTCTTAGGGTTGTGAACGGATCGGCCTATGGGCTAGGCATCTACACAGCCTATGTGCAGAATGCAAGCATGTCCATGAATTATTCGCGGGGCCCTCTACGTCCAGTGCTCGTTTGTGGTGTGATTGACGAGAAGAGTGGAGCGACACAACCCATGGGTCGCTCAGGAGATGTGTACTACACCAGCCATGCTCGCATCTTCTACAAGGAGGAGCTTGTGGCTCCTTTGTTCGAGGCGACATTCTCAGGCAAGCATGCTACAGCCGGTGCTGTGCCGCTCCCGCGGGTCTGTTCACGTTCGAGACGTTCGGCTCTTCTCCGGGCACGAGCTCTGGAGCTAGCGGAAGACAGGAGGAAGCCAAAGAAGGGCTTGAAGGGGCCGCAGACGCGGCTGAAGCTCAGGCTCAGGCCGGCCTCGACGGTTTTGTCCTCTGCGCAGGCTTTCCTGGCCCGACGTGCGGTGCGCAGGCGCCAGCCCTGATGGGCTCGAATGTACAGTGTACAGCGTTGACGGTGTTGACCGTTCAGTTTTGCTTGCACTCCGCAAGTCGGATGTGTGGAGGTTTAGCGGAAAGTAGCATGAGGTTGTACAGAGGCTCCTGCAGTCACCGCTCAAGCTGCCTCTTCCTGGAAAACGTACCTGGCCTGAGTGTAACGGTTAACACTGTACTCTTGGCACAGTCAGCATCCCCTGGTGACCTTCTCGAGTCTTTCGGCCTGGCTTCAAGCTTGTGGCTTCACTGCCGCAGGACCTTAAAGGTCATGTTCGTTGGTCGAGGTCGCGCAGGCCCGGGTGCATGCCCGGACTGACACAGGGATCCTCCCGGCGGCGACGAGGGGCTCAGTGATACCATACGTTTTCGGGATACTCAAATTGGGGTCTTCTTACGGATTGCACGAACACCTACAAATTTGACAGAGCTCGGCACATCCAGACATATCCACACTATTGTTTGTGTTCAAGAAATCTACGGATGCACCCCCTGAAAGACAGATGGAGGCAAGACGTCGACGTTGAAGTCACTCTGCAACGAGGCCTTTCATGTTGTGAGCTGTTGAAAGATTAACACCCATCGTGGTCGAATGTTGGCATTGTTTCCCCTGGCCCCGTGAGGCCTTCGATGCCTCGGAAGCCTCAACCCATGGCGTTGCGGGCGCCGTTTGCACCACGGTGCGCCGAAGGGTATTCCATCCATGGGCTTGCATCGCGGCGCTTTGGTGAGCTCAGATGTGCAGGGGCACGCTACCCACTTAACTACACTGCGAACAAAGACGAGTCAGCATGGAGAACTTCCAGGAGGTGATGCATTCCTTGGCACCTGTGCCTGTGAGAGGAGCGGCGATTCGAGACAACCTCTCCTAGACGGGGGAGCAGCGAGTGGCGGCGAATGAGGCCCGGAGAAGTTGTGGCTTGAGGGGCTTTCCAAGGAGGGCGTGAAGGGGGCTTCGAAGCCTTCGAGGGGGGTCCGAAGGGGGGCTCCACAAGGCTTCGAGCTCAGAAGGATTCTCCAGTTTCAGTGAAATTTGTTGGAGGTCTTTTGGAGTCTGGCCCACGGTAAAATCCCGAAGTTTTTCGGTCTGTGAACAAACTAAATCCTGAGCCCCCCAAAGCCCGCTGAAGACCTTAAGCCTTACAGCTTTGAGGCACTAGACGTTAAGGTAGAAGCCAGAAAGTTGGAATATGATTATCCTAACCCTTCTATGGTAAATTATGGGGTATCCTACCATGAGACCATATTCCAACTTTCTCGAGTTCCCTGTATGAGATTTCGGAGGCGCTTCCCCACATCGGACTTCGACACCGTCGTGGCCCGGCATGTGGCGGCGGCGCTGCGGCGGGACAACTCCCCCGAGGCGGGTTTAGGGGCTTAGTGTTTGGGGGGTTTAGAGCCGATAGTTGTTTTTCTATGCTTGTGACTTGTGTGGTTTTCTTATACCTCGGCCCCTTTTGGGCCCTGTCCTTACGCTTATCTGCTTCTTTGTTTATTGTTCTGAGTCTTGTTCGCCTGACCAATCGTTTGATCTGTGGTATGCCACTATGAGCACACTGATATAACATCGTAAAGTAGCCTTCAATGTGCAAACATATGGTACATGCAGTGCATGGAATATGTTGTAGATTACAGCGTTTCGGGTTTGGGAGGCCCGTCAACTTCGCAAGACCCTTCTGAGCATGCCCTCTTTCTCTGTTGCAGGATGCAGAGCCAGATGCAGAGGCAGGAGGGTTCAGGGCTTGTCGTTTTCCGGGTTTGGGGTTGAGCGTTTCGGGTTTCGGACTTCCACATCCCGCCACAACCTGTTCCTGACCTTCGCACATTCGCAAAGGGTTTCGGCCACGCATTCTGCCTCAAGCCCAAAGGTCTTGGACTCTTCCAATCTGTGCTGGAGGGAACGGCTGAAAACTGTGGATCAATGCAAACCGTCAGAATAAAAGACCCTCAAAGCGCTTGACTAGCTAGAGATATGTAGAGATGTGGGAAATTCTGCCCCAAGTCTTCAGCTGTTTAACCCAAGTCATCCGCCCGGAAGGCCCGGGCGACGACGCCGGAAAGGACACGGCCAAGACCGGCTGGATGGAGCTCTGTGCCCAGCCAGGTGGGGCTTGGCACTTGGGCTTTCTTGTGTTGGCTGGGAGGAATTTCAGCAATTGAGGGCTGAGGGTTGCGACGTCCCGCCGGCCGTGCATGTCTGTTCAAGTTCTTCTTCTACCAGTTTGACGCCGTTGCAGCGTTCGCCGAGACGAGCTGAGCAGGACGGGGAGCATCGCAGCTTCAAGATGCCAGTGGATCTGGTCATCAAGCACATGAGGTGGGGAGCCCAGCAGCGCTGGAGCCCCGACAGAGTTCGCTTTGCACTTGGAGTGTCAGTGTAGTGATCCGACCCAGAATCTTCGTGATATGGTCGCGCTGGTAAAGATTGCACATGAGGCAGGTAGTAGGCGCGGAACATGACTCCTCAACTCCTTGACAACCATTTGCAGCGCAGTTCTCGATTATGCACAGCAGGCACGGGTATGGGTCTTTATGAGAACAGACCGTGTGCTTGTGCGCTGTCCGCACCATCTTTTGCCGGTGCTTGTGGCGATCGCGGTGCGTGGTGTCACAAGCAACAGGTCGGATGACGGCACCGAGGACGACTCAATCACCCTGCAAACCTTCGATTTTGCGGGACAGGAGGACATCATTTCGGGCCACCAAATACCTGGGCCAAGTTGGGATATCGGATATGTGCACCGCTGGCGGTAGAGAAGCTGAAGGATTATGAAGGGTGCATAGCTGACAGGCAAGTCAGGACCGCTGTACCAGTCTAGCAGAGTTGTCGGGATGCCACCTGTGCATCTTTCTGACTGAAGGAGTACCACATGCTCCACCACCTCTTCTTGAGTAACAAGGCAAAGAGGGTTCGACTGATATCTGTTGCTTGAAAGTTACACAGAAGCAGCAGACCACTACACTACACTGAACTTCTCCAAGGGCTTGTACCTCGTCGTCTTCGACCTCAGCCTG